CTTTAGTCTTTGCAACTTTACAGATCTTCTTTATGCACCAAGAGCTTGTAACACTCCAAAGAGAAAGAAAAAATTTAAATCGCATCATATGACCCCTTTAAGTCACTTAATTTTGATCAGTTTTTCAGAAAACAAGACTTAATATCTTACCGTAAGTAATTGTGCTTCTTAAGTCAATGTGCCTTCATGTGTTCTTCAGCTGAAGAGGATGTGGTGTCCATGGCTGACTCCACCATCACTGTGGAGGACATCGAGGGAGAGCTGTTCAAGATCGAGAGGATAAAGGACGCACTGGTTCGGAAAGAGTCTGAGCTCAGATATATGTGAGTTTTACTGTGTTTTTTTTACTATGATAGGACCTGAGATGACTCTTTTACATGCAAGGTTAAAGGAATAGTTCATCCAAACATGAACATTTGCAGAAATTTCAGGCCACCCAAGACGTAGATGAGTTTGTTTCTTCATCGGAACAGATTTGGAGAAATTTAGCGTTACATCACTTGCTCACCAATGGATCCTCTGCAGTGAATGGGTGCCGTCAGAATGAGAGTCCAAACAGCTGATAAAAACATCACAATAATCCACAAGCACCACTGTCTCTTACCTTACAGGGATGCACAGTGCAACATAGACTAAAAAATCAGACTGTGCGAAGAACAAATTTAGTAGCACGCATGCGATACAGTAACATCAGTCGAGTGTTTGAAATAACTTCCTTTTTGATCTGACATGGTTTCATATCACAAAATGAGGCAGAAATCATTCTGTTTTATAGTATTCTATACAATGGTAAAAGGTGATAAAAGTCGATTAACACTGCATTATAAATGAGATGGCTTGAAGAACACAGATAAACCATGTATTGTCACAATCGTATGTTTATTGTATTGATGTTTCATTTGGTACAACGTCTCTATTCGCATTTTATTCAGCTACAGCGATAGCTGGATGCCTTTGTCCATAAGGGATTTCCTGAAACGTCATAAGTTCTATTACTTCTGTGATGCACTTGTGGAGTTTATGCGCGTGGGCGCGAATGAAACAGACTTTACATTACATCATGTGTGTTCTCACAAATTCTCACAATTTTTTTTCTCTCAGTGGATGCATAAGATTTCTTGACAAAAATTAAGAAATTACTGTCACAGATTTTTTTTATCATAATAATGTAATTATTTTATAATAAAACCTTAGACATTTCTAATGATTGATAGTTACAGGAAATTTCTAATGATTGATAGTTAGGTGTTTTAAATTTAAATCATTGCTTCTGGCCAAAATACAAGTCCATACTCCATAATAACGCTTCCTCACAATTAGACATCAACAGACAATTTAAGTAAATGTCCCATGATGCAATGCAGTTAAGGATGCATAAGATCACATAATGCAGTGTAAGCTGACATGAACCAATAAAAAATACCATATACCATGCTATACCACATGCCTGAGTTCAGTGTTATTTTCTACAACATTGATTGTATTGAATATCTGAATATCATCAGGTAATTATGGGGCAAATGACTCATTTTCTGTCAACAGTTACCATTTTAACTAGGTATTTTCTTAGACACAGAACTGAAGGGATAAGCCTGGGACATGACAAAATAAAATGAACAATATTCTTGCTGTTAAGGTGTATTCACACAGCTGTATCATCATTATTAATTGTCAATTGTCAAAACTAGCTATACAATGAAAGCGGATGAGGACAATTCACTCATATGGAAAACAAAAACAAGCATGGGTATTCTGCAAAATTTTCATTTTTGGATGAGATATGCCTTTAAAAAATAATCAGAGAAAGTGTCACATTGACTGTCATTCCTTGTTTTTTATTCAATAACACTTTGAACACAAATTATGTGTAGCCAACATCAGAGCAGGAGATACAGACCTAGATGCGATAAAAGCAGGGGAAATTGTTGAGGACGTTTACTGATAAAGGGATTCAGTGCATTTATTTACAACAATAGTGTCTGATGGGAGTCTGTCAGAAGCCCTGCAAGTGAGATTTGTCTGATGGCAGTAATATGTGTCTGCCGGAGCTGAACATAAACTGCAAATGTATGTGTCTGCATTGTTATTTGTGTGTGTATGACAGGAATGTGAATACTATCTAGCAAAACATATTATCTGTTATTTCACTGCTGAACAGAGATCAACCAGAAAAATCTCTTTTCGATAAAGTCATGGTATTCACACAAAATGAACATTTTGCTAACATTCCTATTAAGTTATGAAAACATTATTTCTGAATGTTCAAAGAGTCCATTTTTTAAAATGTTTAAAAATGTTTTTTCTTGGTTATCCGAATGTTAAAAGAACTTTCCATTGTATTATTTTGCGAACATTATGGGATTGTTACTGTTTTCTGAACATTCTGTAACAATTAGTAACTTTTAAAAAAAACTGCTAAAGTGTTTCAGAAAAATGAACCATGAACGATGTGTAAATAATGTGCTAATGTTTTGAGAACATTATTACAGACCTGATAACTTAACATTCTGTTAACATTACCGGAAGACATTTGTTCATAGTTTTAAAACAACCTTTCCAGAACCTCAGCCAAATGTCTGATAACTTTCCCAGTTAGCTTGATTTCTGACTTGATTGGAAAATGTTTTGCAGCATGAAGGACAGTGTGGGGAGGGTTTGACATCACTTTTGCATTTATTTTCATAGAAATTAAACTGAGGATTTTGATTGTGGTTTTAAAGGGGGGAAAAAATCTCAATTATGTATTCATTTTTTCCCTTATTTGTCAGGATGGACGACATCCAGTTGTGTAAGGAGATCACAAGGCTCAAAAAAGAACTCCAGAAATTGGTTTCCATCCCAGGTATGTTGACCAAAAAATGCTGGACCAGAATATTAAGCATTAATATTGTGCGGATGCATTTAGCCTGTTAGATGATACAGATCTCATTCTCAGTGCTGAAGAACATCTGGTTCTCTTTATTAGCATCATTCCTCCTTCTTTCATGTCAGCCTGTCTTCAGCACATAGTTGTGACATACTTCACTATAGGTCTCCTGTTTCCAAGGAGATGCACGAATGAAGCGTAGGCCTACACCACGTTTTGTTTACTGCTGAAACCTCATTTCGTAAGTTCATACAAAGCTTGTGCGCACAGAAGAGGTTATTTATCCAAACTGGCAGATAATAATACTTTGTGGGAAACAAGTCACATTCCAGTGCTACTGATGTCCATTTATTCTGAGACCTTCAGGTCCTTTCTGACTCATCTGTGAAATCAGGATTTTGATGTACTTTGATATTTTATCATATCTATCATCATTTACTCATACCTCATGTTGGTCCAAACCAGAATGACTTCCTGTCTTCACGACAAAAGGCAATATTTGGGGGGGAAAAATAATCTTATTTTCAATATAAAAAATACAATGGAAAAAATGGTGTAGGATTTGCTTTAAAAAAAAGCTAAGGAACAATTTTCACTTAGAAACTGATTCTAAATTTTACAAAGAATTACAAAAAAAAGCACATTGAATTAAACATGATGTTTTGAACTAGAAAGACTGAAATAGCTCCAATAATTTGTTTGTTACATCTTCAGAAATAATGTGTAGCATACATTGATGCTAAAAAGCTGTTCAAAACAGTTGTGCTGCTTAAAGGGGTCCTATTATGCTCTTTTACAAAGTCTTGATTTTGTTTTGGGGGTGTACTAGAACAGGCTCTCATACTAGGTTGTTCGAAAAACATTATTTTTCACATATTTTACATTATTACAACACCTCTCTCCCCAGTCTGGAATGAATGGCTCGAATAGTTCCTGTATCAAATGAAGGCCCGCCTTCTGAAATACGAAATGTGCTGTGATTGGTTAGCTGGGCCAGTGTGTGTTGTGATTGGTTAGCTGGGCCAGTGTGTGTTCGATATTTGTGATATCACAAATCCCGGAAAATATGCGTTGTAGTCCAAACAAGTCGTTCATTGTAGTTTTTGAAAAGTGATTTCTGTTAAAGCAGCACTATGTAACTTTTGGCACTCTAGCGGTTAGTAAACTATGGAAGCCCATTTCCGCCACTGAATAAAAAAAGTCATGCCCCTTACCATAGCCGCCTGCGAGCTTCAGTGTAAATATTGCGTCAAAATCAAATCAATTTGAGCGAGATTTAAACCCGGATGATTTTAACCACTCTAAGTTCGTCTGCCTTTGGAGAACTAGCACGTCTCCGACATAGTGATAACACTCGTTGCCTTCTCTACTGCAGCTCATTAAAGTCCAATTTTGAGGGGGGAAAAAAAGACTGATATGTTCTCAGAATTGCGAGTTTATATCTCACAATTCTGAGAAAAAAAGACCGAATTGTGAGAAAAAAAGACCGAATTGTGAGAAAAAAAGTCAGAATTGTGAGTTTACATCTCGCAGTTCTGACTTTAATTCTCAGAATTGCGACTTTATGTCTCGAAATTGCGAACAGACTAACTAAAGTTGAAAAAGTGAAAAAGCATAATAGGACCCCTTTAATATTTTTGTGGCTACTGAGATGCATTTTAATCTTTCGTGATTCTCTAATTAATAGAAAGTTCAAAAGAACAGCATTTCTTTAAAATGGGTATCTTTTTGTAACATTATAAATGCCTTTACTTCCACGTTTGCTCAAATGTCCTTTGCAGACAAAGACAAGTCAAATGAGGACAGACAGCGTGAGGAAGAACTACTTCAGCAGATCCAGAAGCTGGTGGAGACCCGGGACTTTCTAGTGGACGACATGGAGTTTGAGAGGCTCAGGTCAGTTTTAAAGAGCCGCCGGCTTTCAGGGACAGGAACATGGGCCACAACCCTTTAGACTGCCGGCTAGCATGCGTGACTATCGGCCCCAGGAATGTGTTTTGTGCCTCTTGTGGCTGTTCCCTCATCTGTGAAGATACTGCAATCCAATTACCCTCCACTTGAAGCCAATAATCCACCCTTACCTCACCACGGCCGTCACACCACACACACCTCACATCACACTCACAGATGGTCCCAGCGGCTCTGATTCTGAGAGACCAGAGAGATTGATTTGCAAGAAAGAAATGGAAAAAAAGAAAAGAGATGTGTTTTTTCGGTGGGTTGGGCTGATTGCCATCTGCCAAGACCTCACGACTGTGTGTGTGTGTGTGTGTGTGTGTGTGTGTGTGTGTGAGTAATCGTGAGTGACGCACGCATCAGTACCCAACACGAATGAAATCCTCACAGTTTATTCATGGGATAAATGAGCCGCCGTCACCCACATGATAAGCAGTTATTACACGGATGGATAGTGGAGAGAGAGAGAGAGAGAGAGACAGTGAAAAACAGAGAGATGTCAAACACTCTTGGTTTGCACACTAAACCGATGTGCTAAGAGAATAATTGATTGTTTGGAGTTTGAGTGTGAATGTTTGGTTAATGCTCGGTGTCTCACTTCACAGTTGTTTGCGTGTGAGTTTGGTTTACATTTTAGGGACTGAAAAAATGGTAAAAATTTGTGGCATTGTGGGGAGCAAACAATAACTGAACAAGAACAGTGGTTTAATAAACGTGCAGAATAGTATCGCAATGAAAATATATAAATGCAGAAAGCTTAGTGTGATTGTTAGTTTAAAAATTAGGATCATTTGCCATGATTTTGTGTAAAAAGCTTCAAAAATCAGTTTTAATTTATTTCAAGTCTGAAATATATTAAAGTTAGAACAGATTCAGAGTAAGATTCCGTTTTATTCACAAATGATGTGTTTTTATAATATTGTAATGATGCATGATAGCTTTAGTGAGTTGATACAGTATACAGTTTATACAGTATATGAATAATTAGTGGCAAAAAATGCTGACGTGCTTTTATAAAGGCACAGGTGCATTCCATTAACAAACCTTGGTATTTGTGTGCCAATTTAAAAGTTTGGGGTAAGTAAGATTTTTAAGAAATTAATACTTTTATTTAGCAAGGATGCATTCAATTGATCAAAAATGTCAAAGACATTTATAATGTTATAAAAGATTTCTATTTCAAAAAAATTTGGATTCATCAAAAAATCCTGGGGAAAAAAAATGCATCATGGTTTCCATAAAAATAATAAGCAGCACAACTGTTTTCAACATTGATCATATTAATACATGTTTCTTAAGCAGCAAATCAGCATATTAGAATGATTTCTGAAGGATCGTGTGACACTGAAGACTGGAGTAATGATGCTGAAAATTCAGATTTAATATCACAGGAATAAATTACATTTTAACATATATTTAAATACAAAACAGTTATTTTAAATTGTAATCATATTTCACAATATTACTGTTTTACTCTATTGTTGATCAAGTAAATGCAGCCTTGGTAAGACTTTTTTCCCAAAACTTTTTTCACTGACTACACAATATTAATGTTTTACTGTATTTTTCATCCAATAAATGCAACCTTTTTGAGCACAAGAGACTTCAATAACATTTGTTACTTCAAAAACATTATATATATATATTTGTTACTTCAAAAACATATATATATATAATGTTTATAGTCTCGTGCTCAACAAGTTTGCATTTATTCAATGAAAAATACAATCAAAAACATAAAAAATTTGTGCAGACCGCAAACTTTTGAATGGCATGTGCACATGAAAATGTATCTTGACTTATGCTTGCGTTTGTGCATTTGCCTTCCTGACGCCTGTTATTCTCCACTCAGAGAGCAAGAGGAGGACAAAGAGATGGCTGACTTCCTACAGACCAAAATTCCCAACAGGTGCAGCATGAAAAGTATGTGTGTTTTTCTGTGGTGCTGTGAGCTCAAGGCCAAGCTCTTAAACCTCCGTTTTTCAGCTTTGAATGCAATTAACATAATAATACATTATTTGAGCATCTCCATAATTGTTTTACTCACTGCCTGCTCAAGTTTAATGAAAATGCAAACTAGAGAAATTAATAAGGAATCTGCTTATTGTTAGAAGCGTGAATGTTAATTCCGTTCTCGGGCTGTTAAAAAGCTGTCTTCATTTGTTTTCTTTTAGTTCAAAACTAATGAGGTAGTTCAGAACCGGAATAAATATTGCAGAAGCACACGAATGTCACTGAAAGTGGGAAGGCTTGACTGTAAATTAGAGAGAACTCAATCAAATACTAATCAGTGTTGTGGTTAGAGTTTGAAACGTCTCACAAAAATATACAAATATTTCATAATCTTTAGTGCTGCTTTTTAAAAGCTTACGAACTGAGCTTTTCACTCAAAGTAAACATTGTATTTTATTTCATCTGAACTCAGCCCAGCTCTATTCCTCAGTTCAGTGTGATTCAAGTCAGATTTATTTATACAGTGCTTTTTTCATAACACACTTTTTTTTTTCAAAGCAGATTTACAGAAAATCATGATGTTAATGTTTGTAATATCTTAAAATCGGAAAAAAAATTAACTTAAATGATTTTAGCAAATGGCTGCAATATAACAAAGAGTGAAAAATTGAAGGGGGTCTGAATACTTTCCGTACCCACTGTATATATATAATGTTTATAGTCTCTTGTGCTCAACAAGTTTGCATTTATTCAATGAAAAATACAATCAAAAACATAAAAAATTTGTGCAGACCCCAAACTTTTGAATGGCATGTGCACATGAAAATGTATCTTGACTTATGCATGCGTTTGTGCATTTGCCTTCCTGACGCCTGTTATTCTCCACTCAGAGAGCAAGAGGAGGACAAAGAGATGGCTGACTTCCTACAGACCAAAATTCCCAACAGGTGCAGCATGAAAAGTATGTGTGTTTTTCTGTGGTGCTGTGAGCTCAAGGCCAAGCTCTTAAACCTCCGTTTTTCAGCTTTGAATGCAATTAACATAATAATACATTATTTGAGCATCTCCATAATTGTTTTACTCACTGCCTGCTCAAGTTTAATGAAAATGCAAACTAGAGAAATTAATAAGGAATCTGCTTATTGTTAGAAGCGTGAATGTTAATTCCGTTCTCGGGCTGTTAAAAAGCTGTCTTCATTTGTTTTCTTTTAGTTCAAAACTAATGAGGTAGTTCAGAACCGGAATAAATATTGCAGAAGCACACGAATGTCACTGAAAGTGGGAAGGCTTGACTGTAAATTAGAGAGAACTCAATCAAATACTAATCAGTGTTGTGGTTAGAGTTTGAAACGTCTCACAAAAATATACAAATATTTCAGAATCTTTAGTGCTGCTTTTTAAAAGCTTACGAACTGAGCTTTTCGCTCAAAGTAAACATTGTATTTTATTTCATCTGAACTCAGCCCAACTCTATTCCACGGTTCAGTTCAGTGTGATTCAAGTCAGATTTATTTATACAGTGCTTTTTTCAGAACACTTTTTTTTTCAAAGCAGATTTACAGAAAATCATGATGTTAATGTTTGTAATATCTTAAAATATTCATGCCTTATAATCACATTTTGGCAGATTTGTTGTTATAATAGCAGTTTCTACAACTACAGCAATAACCAACAGCAGCAGCAATTCAGCAGCAGCGTAGCAGATCTGTTCCGCCAAGACCAAATATATTAACATTGTCATATCCATCACCATGCTAAAATGTTCAGAGAGTTGTCATGATTGAAATGTTTATATTTTAAAAGATATTGTTGAAACAATTCTCACTAAAAAAAATGTTAGTTCGTAAATTTCACAATTAATTACAAAGAAACGGCAAGTAACTGAATTAAACATGAAATTTTGAAGTAGAAAGACTGAAATAGTATTTTCTTGTCAAATGTACTCCAGTAATCTTTATTTACATCTTCAAAAAATATTTTTTACAGTGTATAAAAACTAATTATTTTCAGTATTTCAGTATATATATATATATATATATATTTTTTTTGCAGTGTAGAATGCTTGAACACTTTACTTCAAGCCTTTATATATAATGTATTATAAAAGTATCTTTAATGCATTAAGTATGTCTTGTAATGCACCTTATAATGCATTGTGTGATCTCATTATTAATTCTAACCACAGTTATAATAATACTTATCTATTCACTGTTGCACCTTCAGAAAGTATATAGTATTAAAAACACATCAAAAAATGAAAATCAGAAATGAAAATCAGCAACTAACTGAAATTAATTTAAGATGCAGTACTAAAATGACTAAAACCTAAATGAAAATTAAAATTGAAA